TCCGTCATATATATATATATATATATATATATATATATATATATATGCTTGAATCTTATCAGTTCATTTGCCTTTGTATTCACTCATTTGCTCACACTAACATTTCTGCTCTAATTCTCTCGGTTTAATAATCTCCCCTGTTTATAAATAAACTGTAATCAACACCTCGTATTGCCTTCTAAAATTTATACACCACTGAGATTTATTTAATAACGGTTGTTAGAGCGATTGATAATGAGACTTAGGAATTATCTCGAAAATATGCTCGACCCCGTTTATTGAGAACCGCACTGAGGTATGAAGAAAATACTAAAACATGGAACTGACATGGATGTGACGAACGTGAGTGCATCGTTGAGAGACTAGCTATAAACTCTATGTTCTGATTTACAGAGTGATGTAATGCATATTAATTGTAGTAACCGAATGATGTTTAAAAACAATCAATGATGTAGCATCCAGTTATACATTTAAATAAATAGATAAGATAAACATATTCGTTACCAATCGGTTAGTACTGCAGCGTCTAAAATTTGATGGATATATGGACATTGTATTAAGGCACACTAATCAAACAAAGTGAGAGCAGATGTATAATGGAGGTTCAGTTTATATTGTTGCTCAAAAAATGCCTCAAGTGCGATGAACGAACATTAACTGCATATCGATAACATAAGTTCCCGCTACCGAAAGTTTGACTTCAAACTTTTGTCTATAATAGCGTTGTCAACCGTTGCCATCTTTAGTGTAGTTGCGACCGTGCCGTTGTCAGTGTGTAGGAAGTTCGCTCGATTGGTTAGGCTGATGGTTCATGTGCATACGCATATCGCTAGACCGACATTCATGGATTGTATCACCAATAAATAAGGATATCCAATACATATGTAAAGACGGATTAAAAAAGCAAGGGTAGCATTCTCACAATTGAAGAACATTGAGAACTCAGATCAACAGTCAGCTAACGCCACATAGAAAATTTAGTACCAATATTAAAACAGTTCTATTGTACGGAGCTAAAACTTGAATTACTACAAACACTATCAAAAAGCTATAGGAAATTATAAACACCTATTTACACATAACACACCAGATTCATTGGTCAGACACCATAAGCAATAATCGACTGTGGGAGAGAACAAACCAGCTTCTATATGAAGAGGAAATCAGAAGCCGCTGGAGTTGGGATAGGTCATACTTTAAGGAAACCACCAAGCTTCTTCACGGACAACGAACTAACTTGAAGTCCTCAAGGTGAAGGACAAAAAGGCGAATCAAAAAAATAATAAATGACGCATGGAATCGTAGGCGGACATCAAAAGAATGGGCAGTGCTTAGTAACAACCTGTTGTGTCCCGATAAGAATAATGAGTGGTAATTTTTGAGATCTATTTATGAACCAATACTGTGCGTATATTTTTGTCGTATAACTGTTAATTAACTAAGCTATTCATATTCATGTCTTTCTTATCATAAGCTTTATTTTAACATATGAACCGTTGTTATACGGTTTTCCATTCTTGAATTATTCCCTGTCTATTAATCACTACCTCCCACATTCACAGCCATATATGGCCAAATTTTGTACTAATGTTATTTTCTATTTTATGCTACTTTGTGGTCTGTTCGACTAGTATATAAACTCAGTATGTTTGAAATATAAGGATTCATATTGCAGAAGGCTGAGACTGATTTTATGGACTTAACTGGCTGGGTTAGGCGGCAAGCAGGACCAATCAGGACTCTAGGCTGCCTGCACGTGTTTTACGCGTCCTTGGTCCGATCGATAATTCGCTGCTTCCGATTGGCGGCTTTAGGCTATAACACAACCAGAAAGGAGAGCACAAGTCAGAGTTGGCTGAAGATTCCTGGTTGATGGCCTATGCTTTAAGAGCAGCAACAAGTTTATTTAAGTACCATTTCCTAGACAAATCTCATCAGTTGATTTCGAGATCTTACATTATTCGACAATCAAGTTACTATCCTTAAAAGCATTCTATACATCTTATATTAATTAACCGAACATAATACGCTAACTGCTGCGATTTGCAAAATTGTCCCATTAGCACATTTTTTCATTCGAACTAAAAGACTGGGTTTTAGCGCGTACGCGCACACACACAAAGTAAAACCCATTTGTTGATCGTGTTTTTCATTTAATGGCCATATTGCAACCATATGATCAAATTTAATAAACCCTTTAAAGTTGTGAGTTGAAAGACAGTCATTTCTATTCATATGCTACGTAATTGTAAGGAAATCAATGAACTGTATATGACTTGCCACAGTAACATGACTAATGAAATAGATTTTTCTATTGATTTTAAAATCGCTTCAATATCAATTAAATTTATGGGAAATGTAATACAACAAAAATGTACTAATTAGCTCCCCTCATCAAATATTTCTCTACAAACCAACAGTTAACGATAAATATTCTGACTGAACGGTTTCCTAGGCTCTTCTAGTAACCCCAGGCTAAATCTACACAACTTGAACATGAGAGAAAAGGCGCGAAATGTGCAGAAAACGCTTTATTCCGAAGTTAGTTTATGCACATAAAATCGAGGGTACTTATAACATTCCAAATGGCTTTGGGCTTCTGGAACCCTACTAAACATAGTAGCAGGATATGTAGTCATCCAATCACAAACGTGACTTCTCACTTTCTAGATGTTTCTGAGAAACTCATATTCAATGCTGATTGGACAAGATGTTTCCCGGCGTTTTCAGGGCCCCTCTATGCTTTTTTCCAGAAATATTCTAGGTTTCCCCAACAGTTAACGACATCTCCCATAGGGAATGATAAAGACAAACTGTTAAAAAAGAAGTAACCAAGAAGTAGAAAATCCTAGTTGAAATAACAACCATAGTGTTCTAACATCTTACAGTGAGAAAACATTGGAAAACCTGGGAGAAAAACACCAGACATTATGTCAGATCACAGTCTTATTCTCTACCGAACCATATGAGGCAGATGAACTAAATTCACAAGATAACCCCAGCAGCTAAACTCAAATAAACACTTTCTCTTAGAACAAAGATCTATGACACATCACAAATTTATTACGAGCATCAATTTGAAATCAGTTAATATGATTATATTTAATAAATTCACATGTAAAATGATTCATTGACAATCAAATAAACAACATATTCTATATCTTAACTACCCCTTAAGCACAAGGATACATTATATCAATTCAAAAACCCCAAAATGCACCAAGAAGTCATTTAGATAGTGATATGACAGTGAAAGGACAAAACCACATTATTTTGCTCATTGTGATTTCTGTGTAATATTACTTCCATTTTTTAGTGTAATATGATGATTAGTAACAGTAATATTTATTTTGCTTTCCAAATTTTATATTTTATTCGTTATAACATTTATTTATTTGAGTGTGATCCTTATTCAGGATACGATATTCATTGTATTAAATTAATGTGAACTAAGCTCAACATGATAAGCAGCATGTCATTTGTCATAATCCTGAACTTTTTTCATATATGTGATTTCATCCTAACTAATAATCAAAATGGGTGTATATTCAATATATGAGTGTATTTTCGACTAGGGTCGTCGTGTTTTGGGATTAATAAAGGTACCTGAAAGGAAATGGGGTTAAAGTTGGTCTTACTGACCTGAAAGCGTGACCACAGTGCCAAAGAGACAAATGCTTGAGACCGGTCACACACCTTTTTATGTTAGCTCCGCACTTGTTGAAACCTTACTGACGGAGATGGATATCCGCGGGATAAGGTGAGGTGTGCATTTTTAGGGCCGACCTTCTCTAACTCCACTCTTCCTTTGAGGGAAACGCCTTACTGACGTCACACCTCTGTACAGTCAGAAGCACAACTTCGCCCTCAGACGTTGGGTTTGTTGCTTATAGTCCTGGCGCTTCCCCACCGACCTGCCTGGTGTAATAGGACCTTGAGGAACGGATTTTCCAGCCTGTATAGCCCGATTGGTTTGTTATGATAGACAAACCCGACCACCACGTCAAGGTAGAAGCAACGGTCGGGTTTAGGGTTAGTAAATCTTTAGTTGCACCAGTCTTCCATATTCTTACTTTACGTCGTGAGAATCGAAGTGGTTTCATTGTATAAATAATGAAACAACGCGGACATAACAAATAGTTATGAGATTTAAATACTTGATTGTATCTTAACTTCTTATGAAAAAAAGCTGGTTTCTGTCATTATATAATAAGTTATTTTTGAAAATTAATCCTTAATGGAAAACATCAACGTATTCAACTGAAAAATATAAATTTACAATTTATTAGAAGAAAAAAAGGAACTCAACATTGTACTACCAACTAGTTATATATATATATATATGAGTTTGTTTGAAATAATTCCAGCTGAATATACAAAAAAATGGAATAGAAAACTGAGAAATACCCCGAAAAAAAATAAGAAGAACGAATAAATTCATATCGTGAAAAATAATATCATTAAAAGTTCAAAGTCAGTCAGTCAGTCAGTCAGTAACAACGTAGAACTTCGTACGTACGTACATCAGTTCAAGTTGCCATACCACATTAGCACAGAGATGCAATTGTCGATTCAAATCCCGTAGTGGTAGGGGTAGTAAGAGTATAAGGAGTAGTCGGAAAGATTAGGGTTTCGAGATGTTATTTAAAGTGTATAATCCAGTGAAATAAATTTGGGAAGAGAAAAAGAGAGACAAGGAGGGATCAGGAGATTAGAATTTAGGAGAACATAAAGAGTGTATGCACCTGCGCCATTGCAAAGTGAAATGATAAAGTATTGGTAAGCAAAAGAAGAATAAACAAAAAGAAATGATTGGGAACAAAAAAACATAGTTATACTACATAATTCTAATCAATACTTGATTACTTTCATAATAACATGTAGTAACAAATATGACGGAAAATGTTGTTTGTTTGTTTGTTTAAGAAAACAGAACATGAGAAAAGTATTGACTGAATTGTTCTCAATTATTTTTCTTCCATAGAAGAAAATTAAAAAAATTAGTCAGAATCTGAATGTTGTAAACCAGCAATCTCTTCCTCAGAACCACCAATAGCTCTCCAAATTTTACATGTTATCTATAAAATAAATTGATTGATAAGAAAAAAAAGTTACAACAAATAATTAAATAGCACAGGTTGAAATCACGAGTCAATTGAAACTAGACCACCATGGGAAATCTGGAAGCACTGGACGGCCGTTTCGTCCTGGTATGGGACTCCTCAGCAGTGCGCATCCGCGATCCTGTGAAATTTCTAAAAAAAATCTCCACAAAACCCATTCTGATAATAATCAACTGCTCACTAGTGACTGACTTCAGAAGATACTTCTGGAGTTCTAGTGAGAAGCCATTACCAGTGGAGTTCAACCACGTCTGTTGTGAGATATCAGCTCACTGAAGACAGTGGTGTACGGTGGCGCAACTTCGTGGATTGGTTGAAGTTAGACATTAACACCGTTAGATGCTAGCTCAGTGGTCTAGTGATTAAGTGCTCGCGCGCGAAACCAGTAGGTCCTGGGTTCGAATATCGCGGGGTGCGGGATCGGGGATGAGCACTGCTGAGGAGTCCCATACTAGGACGAAACGGCCGTCCAGTGCTTCCAGGTTTTCCATGGTGGTCTACCTTCAATTGGCTCATGATTTCAACCTGTGAAATTTCTAAAAAAAAAATCTCCACAAAACCCATTCTGAAAATAATCAAATAACTAAGTGAAGATAATATCTGCATATTATTTATAAGTAAAGAAAATCTATAATATATATGATTGTAAAGATTAATATACTATATAAATGGACATGATTCTGATACTCTTTGATGTTATGTTCTCCGATTCGATTTTCAGGTACAACATACGCTTACTACTATAAATCAAAAGTTTAAATAAGCAGAAAGGTATTACTGTCAAATCGTTGATAATATGTGTACACATATACATTTGTCATTCTAACTCAAACAAGGACATATAGACTGAGATCTTGACTAGAATTATAAGCGACTACATATTTTAGCATGCCTTATTTGTAATTTCTCACCTATTCTCTAACGTTGAAATGATAGGTAAGCACAGGTGCGTAGACTTATCCAGTCTATTATCTCCGCTTAAAAACGTAAACTACTTAGGAGTGTGATAAAAACTTGTTATAATTTAATAGGATTACCAACTGAATCTATCAACGACAATATTATAAACAACTTGATAGATTGGAATAACATCAATGATATATGTGATTCACACATTTTTTTCAACTACTTTTAAATTTTCCACAAGCGGTAAATTCTTGTTTACTTAAATTTAACAAACAAGTGTAACTATGTATGCAAAAACCTTGAGGAGACTATAGAAAACATAAATTCAACAGTAGCAAGAGAAAATGAAGAATAAAGAGAGAGAAATAGAGAGCTATAGAAAAGTATGACAATGAGATTTTTTTAAAAACTGATTCATCTCATTTGACTACCTTCTAATGTGATGTAACTACTATACGCAGCTGAAACTTGGGGAACTACTACAACCATCATCAGGAAGGTACAAGTACTTATAAATAGTTGTCTACTCAAGATATTCAATATACATTGGCCGGATACCATCAGCAACAGTCTACTGTGGGAGAGAACAAACCAACTTCCAGCTGAAAAGGAAATTAGGAAAGGACGATGGAAACGGATAAGACATACATTACGCAAATCATCAAACTGCATCACGAGGCAAGTTCTAGGTTGGAATCCTGAAGGGAAGTGGAAAAGAGGAAGGCCAAAGAACACATTACGTCGGGAAGTAGAAGCAGATATGAAAAGGATGAATAACAACTGGAAAGAGCTGGAAAAGATTACCCAGTACAGGGTTGAATGGAGAATGTTGATGAGCGGCCTATGCTCCTCTACGATGAGAAACAGGTGTAAGTAAGTAAGTAAGTAATTCATGAAATACAGAATAGTATGCTCGACCTTGAGCTACACTTCATGTACGAGACCAAGTTATACAACTCGTCTGAGTGAACCGAAACAGCTGAAGTAGTTAAAAATCGAGTGCCTTATCCATCCACTAAGCCCCTAAATGCCCTGGTACGGCCGAGAGTGGGGAGAGTCAGCTTTCTTTCGTCAAATACTCTCACATGTTCATACAGCCTCTGCCAAGGAAGTCCTACTCACTGCCTTCTCGCAGCATTACTGTTAATTACGAAATCGAGAGGACGAAAAGTAGACGTTCGGCGCTTTATAACCGGGTTGGTAGATACTGAGAGTCCACCTAAGGGAGTTGAAAAACCTTGATTCCAAACCAATGGTGCACATGGGCTCCAGGATCCTGAAGGAATAAATGGCGTATGAACATATTCCTGGCCACTGGCTACCCCATTGGACTGCATCTCCTCACGTTGCTTCACTGCCTTGTGGACTAGACCTTTAGGCTTCGGGTGTGACCACCTGAGAAAATCACCTAATTTGGTCTGTGTTCCCGGGTAGTCTCATACCCCACACACAAATCAAGTGACTTATGTGCCGCATATGCATTCAATGCCCATTTGTATCAATATTTATGTGCTCTAATAAATAGTAAATAAATAATAAATATCACCAAGCCTTCACTTCATGTCTCAATAGTATACATTTATCGACTTTCTCTTAAAAATTAATTAAATGATAATAAAATTTATCTCAAAGGTAACTTGAATGCATTACAAATCAATAAAATGATAACAATTTATAACTTACTTTTTCAGCCATATTATATCTATCTGTAGAATTTAATGAAGCTATCTCATTACGTATTATTGGTAAATGTTTGAATAATTCTTCAAATTCACTTTCATTATTTAATGATGAATTGATATATTCATTATTATTATTTAAATGGATCTTATTTATATTATTCGATAAATTATTTACTAAATTTAAATGATTTTCATTATTTAAAGATTTATTATTAGTAATTGATTTTGAATGGTTTCGATTATTTTGATCTTTTAATTTAATAGAAAAGAGAAGAAAAAAAGAGAGGAAATTCGTAAATCTTCTTTTAAAAGACTTTGTATATATATATATATATATATATATATATATATATATATATATATATATATATTTCAACACATAAATATTGGTACAAGAGGGCACCAAATATATATGCGCTACACCATATTTGTGTGTGTGGACTATGATACTGCCCGGGTGCCCAAACCGAAGCAGGTGGTTATCTTAGGGGGCCACACCCCGAGCCTTTGACCTAAAGGTCTGATCCACAAGGCAGTGAAGCATCGTGAGGAGATGAAGTCCCATGGTAGCTGGTGACCAACGATTGGTTCATACGCCATTTGTTCTCACAGGATACTGGAGCCCATGTGCACTATTGGTTCGGGATCCGGTTAGAGCGTCGGACATTCGCTTTTCGTCCTCTCATTTTCGTAAACAACACCCCCGCCACGAGAAGACAGTGAGTAGGACTTCTCTGGCAGAGGCTGTATACGCGTGGCCGTGTGAGAGCATTTCGAGAGGGAGGGCGGGCCCACCCCACTCTCGGCCATGCCAGGGCATTTGGGGGCGTATGTATGCAGTACAATCTGATTATAGTGAAATGGGGGGAAAGGGTTTAAAATCCTTTCATCTTCTCCCATAGAGTTATAAATTAAATATCCATAGTAAATTATCGTTTCACTGTATTTATTCACCTTTGAACAATACACTTCTTGTATTTACATTTCTATTATTTTCTATATTATTGTTCAGTTTATTTTTTTTACCAAATTTGATGAGTTTATGTGTGATAGGGGTGGAGAAAATTGAACTGATACTACACTTTTGCCAAGTTCAACAAACATGACAATAAATGATTGACTTTCACTATTATCAATGATACTTTTATTTTGATTCCTTTGATTTTCCTACATTATTTATGACTAAGTGCCTTCTCGAGGCGGGGGTGTTGTTTACGAAATTGAGAGGACGAAAAGCGAATGTTCGGAGCTTTAACCGGGTTGGTGGACATGGAGAGTCCACCTATGGGAGTTGGAAAACCTTGATTCCAAACCAATAGTGCACATGGGCTCCAGTACCCTGAGGGAACAAATGGCGTATGAACCAATTATTGGTCACCGGTTACCATTGGACTGCATCTCTTTACCATGCTCCACTGCCTCGTGGATCAGACCTTCAGATCGAAGGCTCCGAGTGTGGCCTCCTAAGAAAACCACCCTCTTCGGTTTGGGCACCCGGGCAGTATCACAGCCCTCACACATATCAAATGAGATCTGTGTGATACATATGTATTTGGTGCCTCCTCGTACCAATATCTGTGTTAAATAAATAGAACTGACTGACTGAACTAAATTATAAAACTCATCTAAAGAAATGAATATATCTTTGAGTTAGTTAATTCACAAAGATTTTTTAACTTAAATACCATTTGACATGAAAGATATGTTTCGGTAATGTAATAAGAAGACGAAGATTATCAGAATTATGTAAAAACCAACGTGGACAGGTCAATACCTTAGTTATTATAGTTATTGCCCTGTGCAATACAAACGTGGTTTGATAAGGTGCCTATTCAACAAGCTTGATTGTATTTGTACAAATGATGCCATTGATGATGATATTGAGTTGATAAATAAAACATTAATGGAAAATGGCTATCCTCTGAAATTCATAGATAGATGGAAAGTCCATGATACAGTGAGACCTACTATAGCCTTGGTAGGAAAAAGCCTATCTACATCACCTTACCATACAGAGATGATTTAAATAGCGTTTTATTGAAACAAAAGCTTAAATCACTCATCAACGAAACGTATTGCGCAGCAAAGGTCACTAACAAAGAAAGAACAAGGTGCATGCTTCATCCAAAACCTAAAACACATGAAAACGATTGTCACATTCTACTTTGTTTACTAATTTAAATGTTTGTGTGGTCACACATACATAGGGAGGAGCAATCGTGATCTCAAAATTAGGGTATGTGAACATGTACCTAAATGGTTGCAGAAACAAATACAATCAAGTGATCCATTAAGAGTAGATGATAAACATCCATTATCCTCTATCGCCAAACATATAATCGAAACAGGCCATAAGATTGATCTTAATTCGGCTTTTGTGGTGTTGTATAAAAGTGTAAAAGGGTGTATACTAAGATTTATTGAAGCCTTAGCCATACGAAAATTCAAATCCCCTTTGTGTATTCAAAAACAGCTTGTTCTCACCTTAAACCAACCATGGTAATATTGGCTTATTATTAGTTATTACTCTTATTATTATCATTCTTGTCTCCTTTTACCCCATTTCCAGTCTAGTTGACGTTTTATTTTTTTATATATCAACGTTTTAAACAAGTGTACTATGTGTGATCAGATTGTTCGAAATGTATTACGCTAATATATCATCATATAGTTCTGATAATCTTCGTCTTCTTATTACATCATCAAAATTTATCAGAAGGGACTAATTGCTTGAAATTTATCAAATAATTCACCTTTAAAGTCAATAAATTATATTTTTTTAAGTAAAAAAAAAGATATCACGAATGGTAATATTTTTTGTGATATGAATTTATTTTAGAGATTAGTGAAAATATCAAGTAAATATTTGATAAATACAATGATTCCTTATATGATAATAAAAATTTGATTTTGTAACTGACATTATTGATTAGTTACTTTAATGAAATTTGAGTCTTGTAAGTATACAGTAGAACTTTAATTTGTACAAAATAAAATTGATGCATCAAAGTCTTTTGTGATAATAGGATAGGATAACTTGAACTGATGTATATAAGTAACAGGTTCTATAATGTGACTAATTGATTGTTTCAACTAATAAATTAACTCCAAGTTTATCTCATTATCTTAGCAATTAACAGTAAACGATGGAAAAACTGGATACATACATCTTTAAGAGTCAGGAGAGTCAGTCAAACAGTCAGCTAGAACGTAAGGCCAGGCATATATATGCATCGGTCCAAGTTGCCATACCTCATTAGCATAACAAGATGAACATCGGATTCATAGGAGTAGTTAAGTCAATGGTTGTAATATATAAAAGAAAGATTGCAATAAGGATATAGTACAGGAAGAAAGAATTAGTTCGTAGAAAGGAAGATATGATGTGATTTTAATCTCATAGTTTAAGGGAAGACAAAGAGTGTATACACCGACGCCATTGTGATCGGTTCTGAGTCGTGTCACCAAGAGTCTCCAACCATTGGTTATGATAATCACGCGGACACCAACCAAGTAATCTGCATCTACCAACATGGCTCAGACCAGAAGTTAGTGACTTTATGGACTGATTCTACGTTTTGGTTTGGCCACCCCTAACTTTCTTCCAACCATCTCCATCACCGGTTAGCATTGCACGTCGTGGTAATCGGTGTTCAGGCATACGCAACACGTCGCCCAGCCACCTCAGTCGATGAAGATTCACAACCTCATCAACTGATTTACCATCAAGAGAGCGGGTAAATAAGTATAAGTAGTCAGGTGAATAAGTCAGAAGAAATCTATGACCAAATTATTTTCTTTACTATCATTATGCGAAAGAAATTCCTGATAATAACAATAGTACTTATATTACCTTTAGGCTTCATATTTGGCCAAATATGTGTTTCCAATATAGATATTATTCGTTTTACTCCAAATTCTTCGCCTGAAAACGAAAGTCCCCACAAATCATTTATTGTACTATACAACTGTACTAGTTTCAAAAACAGATATTTTGCTAAACGGTGGATTACTTGCAAAAGTATGAGTTATTAAAAATGAAAATAGTCAGAACAATTTACCGAATGCTTAGTAAGGTTTTCTGCGACTATGGAAACGACATCTATTGCATCAAACATACAAAGCCAAATCTTAATAACAATCATGCTTGAACATACAAAATTATCTAGACAAATTCTATCATTTAATAATGATATTTAACAGATCAGGGGCTGTTGAAATTACAATAGTCAGTTAGTAATCAACTGATTTCCTAAAACGAAATATAAGGCATGCTACTATATTTTCAAATCCGTTTGAACCCATTCTAAGGTTACTCACGGCCCTAGGTCCGGATAAACAAGGGTTGGGCACGTGTTTAGCAACCCCATCCCATAGAGAAGAACCTTGCTAAAAAAACCAACTGTATGATCAATGATATCGACTTTTATAATTCCCGTTCAACTACATTATTTACATACTGATGATGGCGACTTTATTTAACTTCAATTTTATTGGAGTTGACCTTTTATTTTGAGATCTGCTAAGTAATTACCAATACATAGATAATATAAATTCGTTAGGCAGAGACAGTGACAAAATAAACTTTTTCAGAGTACCATGAGTAAAAATCGAAAAAAGATGGTATTGCAGGACTGACATGTGATGGCAGTTAGTTTAGAGACGAACAATGATGTGATTGTGCGAATATTAGTTAACTCGGTTAATAAATAGTATCAGGCCTGACTGACTACTTACTAACAAAATATCGCGACCACTAAATAAATCTAGCTTGGCACCCGCCAACTTATACCACCAATAGTACTAGTCCAACCAGCCAATTATCAAGAGGTGAGTACAATGTAAAGAAAAGAGCTCTTTTCTACACCATGGCTGTGAAATAAAACTGCTGACTGAGATAAGTATACTAATACAGTTACTAGACAACAAATATTTTCGTGGCACCAATCGCGTTTAATGGAACCATAAAATAATTAGTGTTCATCTATATTCAAATTCTAGGAAATAAGGACATGTTAGTTGTTTAGTTCGTGTACCTGTGCTGATCGAAGTGAGTGAGTCCGATACTCTATTTATTCTATCCCAGACTATACTGACTTGTAACGCTGGTTTGAGTACGACTATGCTTAAAAATTTAAGAGCAGTCACATAAACACACACTATCTATTGAAGTTATTGGCTGTTGGTTCTAGTTATACAGGGAGGTCCAGGCTTTACCATAACCAATCATTAGGGATGTTAGATGATTTAAATCAGCCCCAATGGTGCAAATGCGTTCATTTCTTATCTTCAACTCAAACTCAAACATCGTGTTATTCATAATTTCACTCATTTTTCGATCTTTTTCTTCCTGTCCTTCAGCTTTCCACTGTTATTACTGCTATTATCTCTACACCTTTCCATTTTTATCGTGTCGCTTTGTATTTTCTGTTCTGATGAGAAGTGTAATAAGGCGAAGCGATAAACATTTATATTGGGTCATACTTTGTTTACGTCGGCTTTGGTGAGTTGGTTTACGGAGAAATCATATTTCTAGAAAGCCCCACTGAAAAGAACAAAACATAACACTAACCTTAACAATCCGATTACTAAAACTGAAAATAAATGTAATAAGCATAGACGATCCTCAGAGGAACTAATCGACACATTAACAAGACTTTAAAAGGCCAATAAGCAAAAATACCCAGTACCTTCTTCAATAGTATCTTCATTTGGCGAAATTTCAACTAGCTCAAACTCATGATCCAGAATAATGCGTGTCATAACCGAAAAAGCATCTGGCTCAGAAGGAAACAAAATAGACGGATTAACAGTATGACACACTAGCATCCGTATGGATACGTCATGACTAATAGCCAACCCCATCAGTTTAAGAGCATAATTCCAACTAGACACCTTAAGGAGAAAACGGATATGAACAAACAGGAAATATATCGACGTAGAGAGAACGAATTCACGAAAAATCAGAAGAAAAAAGACGCTAGTCGTGATTAACAGGTTTAATGACACAACTGCATAACAAATGTGATAATGACTATGTAGATAAAAAACACGTGAAGCAGCGAATCGCAAAACGTCAAGTGTACACTAGCGTATTTACAGCACGATCAACAACCCAATGTTTGCCCTAGCATGGGAAGGCATATTTGATAAGCCCCAACTTAGGACGAAGCAAATGGATAGGGTTGATTCGTCTGCAATTATTAACTGGCTTTGATCATTGATGAAATAATTTCTCAAACTATTCATTAAACATTATCTAATGAAACAATATTATTTTGATTTTACTTTTCTTAAGTGATACTTCATCCATTCGCTATCCTATAAATTTGGTAAATGGAAGTAATGATATGATGCACCACATTTTTTATCAATTTTCATTATCGCCCGAAACAACGCGGATCGGTGTATAATTTCAACTCCCTCCCTTTTTTAACCAGTCTTTGGTAATGAGCTAAAATGATGGAACCAGATTAAGTTGTATTTTTATATTTCTGCAAAATAAGAGTACTAAATGTACAAGCGATAAATGTAAGTCAAGTGCCTTTTGTTTTACAAAGTAATAATGTAAAGCGAAATGAGTCTTTCTACATAGGACTAAGGACTCTGGAAACATTTAGCCTGTTATCAAGGTAGTAAAGTGGCGTTTAGCTAAAGAATCGTGAACTCAGATAAATATTGTTTATTATCCTAATTTTGGAAGAACTGTTTTAAATATTCAAGGTTAAAGTACACTGCATAGTGGAACCGGAATCATAATTTTAAAAAGTGAGCTGATAATCCCTTCATTAAACACTATTATCTGCTACTGGTAAGTAGAAAATAGTAAGGACTATGGTATATGGGCTTTTCAGAAAAAAGCGCTCACAGAATAAAAACTGGCGATGCATCTCTACAAGTTTATAAGGTACATAACACTACTGCATATACTTAGTAATCGCTTTCAATTTGGAGAGATTCGTGGTTTTAACAGTGCGAACTCATCGTTCTTTATGTCCTTCTAATCCAGCAGCCTTTAATATTCCCAACCACAATACTCTTCTCTTACTAACCAAGAAAACAAAAGAGCGGAAATAGAGTTGAAATTTGAAAAAGTACTGAAGAAATGCTTTCAGGACAGTGTGAATATGGGCGACAATGCATCAAATTCTTTTACGCCTCTTCCCGAGGTAAACAATAGGAATTTTTATCTAATTTTCCCATTGAGTGGAAATATCTCGAAGGTAACACTTCCACTTTTCCCAAATCGTCTACTTTTCTCCAATATTAACACTGAATTGTCTACATTTCCCCGAAATTCGAGTGACTTTATAGTGTCCTCTAATTGTCCTGCTTCGACTTAGGTACCCGGGCAGTATCCCGGCCCTCACACAAATCGAGTGATTTATGTGGCGCAAATCTATTTGGTTCCTCCTTGTACCAATTTTTATGTGTCTAGATAAATAGATATGTCCAAGACCAATGCTTTTAAGAGTACAGTCCAGTATTACTATATCATTTGTTTCAAAATTAATGCATCTATTCCCAGACTAATGTACAGATACTCCGAAGCATTTCAGAGTTGAACATAATCAAAAAGAAATATGAGGGCACTCGAAATTCAGTTATATAGCAAGTCGCAAACAATGATATCCGGTATCAGTGTAATGCGACAGATGATATTACTATGAAGAACACCAGTCAAAAAACCTTGGCTGGGGGTTAGCTAGCTTACAGTTACCTTTATAGATTGAAGAGTTGGAAGTCTTAGATGCATATCTTCAGCAAAAACGTAAATTTGCAAGTAAACTGACCCCCTATCCCTTCCATGGCCCGTCATAACTTAACTAACAATTTTTTAATTTTATTATTATCATTATTTATTTTATTCTATTTGTGTTATCGTTAACCTTATTTCCACATCCATTATTTGTTTGTAATTTTCCGCCTCTTTGTATTCTTCACTATCTAATTATTTACACACTTTTTATTACGTAATGATTTTAATGTTTTGAGATTAATATTCCTAGTCTATTTACCCGTGTTTAACCTTCTATTTCCAACGTTTATTGATAAGACTTTTGTTATCGTATTTTATTATTCTTACCACTATCAGTACACCCACCTTCCTACTATCAACTTGTACTTTTACCTATTATGTGTAGAGACTTATTCTATTTCATTGTGATTATTGACTCATATTGCCTTGAATGGTTTACATTTTCGTATAAATATTCATGTATAGTAGAGTAAAGCCTGATGACGATCTAATTGAAAACAATTGTTCGCTTATATGTGTTGTTCTAAACTGACTAAGTTTACTGCTTGTTTACTATGTAGATGGCGATGATAACTAGGCTGACGGATAATCATTCGAAAGCCCCAATCAGACCAATTTTATCCTACCTAATAAAACCCGATTTGGCAATAAACTTCACATTGATGGGGACAACCACAAAATGGAGTATTCTATAGTTTCGATTCTATAGCAGTATAATAGGTAATACTATATTTGTCTCTTGACATCTAAATTCCTATAGTACAATATTAATGAAAAAGTTTAGTGTCACCACCTAATTAGATGTAGCAGGTAGGCGTTAGTATCCATTAGTATTTCGTTTAAACAAGAGGTTTCCTTAAAAGAAAAACACAAGCCATGTACTAACTACCCTTTTCAGATTATGGTTGAAGATCACTCTGTCAGTAACAATAACGACGTTTTACTGTCACTCGAGTGTAAATATAATTGGCAACTACGCGTGCTTCATAGAAATCACTCTTCTGAAGAATGTCAAGTGCGCAGAAAATGTAGTAGTCTTTAAGGTTAACCCTAAAGAATTAAAGGTGAATTTCCTGGATAGACAAACTATACGAAATAAGTTCATCAATTTACACGGAAACTTAACTACCTGATGTGTTAAATGTGGAGAAAAGTAAACAATTTGAAAACGGAAAGTATTAATTTCATACTATTTACCTCGGACAGAGGCAAAAGGAAATTCGACGCATTGTCGCCTATATCTACACTGACCTCTCTGGAAGAAATTCTTCAGTATTTTTAAACACTTCGTCTTTATCTTTACAGTCTGCTTGGAATGTGTTATTGTTAATCATTAAAATAAGACAGTACGAGTAACTGTATCCTTACCTTATCCCCAGAAAAACAAATGATAACCCCATGAACATTGAGAAAATCCGGTGACTTGCTAAGAGCGCATAATTTGTCTACGGATCGAATAATTATATCAGCTGAGTAGTATTTGCAATCGATTTTGAGCTCATACTTCGAATCACATATTTTAAGCACTTGAATTTGTCAAATTAGATTGTAATTTGTAACGTACAGTTATCAAGCAATGTTCTCAAGTCACAACCACTTTCCGAAGCATCAATATATACAATCTCAGGTAAAGCCATCGAACGACCTTGAAAACTTCATATTATGCGTTGAGGGTGACCAAACGTCAAACTCAGATTCAGATTTGTGTAGTAAGGGCAGAAGGCCTACGGCCTATTTTATTCCTTTTCTAGTATGCTTCTGCTTCAGGCAGCAGGTTCCAAGTATTGATGACGCGGTGTGAAAACCTGTATGCCACGGGTATTTTGTTCGTTCTTGGCTTTTCTACTCGCCTGCTATGTCCTCTGAGGTGTCCCGATCTAGTGGGAAGAAAGAGAGAATAAGTTAGGTCCGAAATCATTTCTCAGTATTCTGTACATCAAAATTAGATCTCCCCTTAGTCTGCGATAGGACAGAGTAAAGAGGTTCAGTTTTTCAAGCCGCTCTTTATATGATAAACCCCGGAGTTCCGGAATTGCACGCGTAGCTGCCCTCTGTACTTTTTCTAGTGTCTGAGTCACCTTTTAAACAGGGGCTTGCAGCCTGAACACAGTTCTCTAACTTAGTTCTCACTAAGGATGTATATAATGTGGTGAACATGGTAGTATCAAGCTTAGTGAATGTCCTTTTTAAAGCCCAGAGGGTTCGAAACCCCTTAACTGCGACCTCCCGGCAATGGGCCGTCGTCTTAAGATCATTGCTCACTGTCACCCCTAGGTCCTTATGAGACCGGACTACGGGTAATGACACATCCCCTATGTTGTACGTATTAACCTTTGAATCCCCCAAGTGCATGTAGACACACTTTTCCGAGTTGATAGGCATTAGCCACTCTTTAGACCAGTTTATCATATTATTTAAGTCCGCCTGAAGAGTAAATGCGTCTTTGTCTCCAGTTATTACTCGCCAAATTTTTACATCGTCAGCGTATAATAACATTGGAGACTGTACTATACTTGTAAGATCATTAACGTACATTATAAAAAGTAAAGGACCTAAGACGGAACCTTGGGGTACTCCACTAAGTACTGGTCTCCAGATGGAGCACTTGGAATTTATTCTTACTTTTTGCCTACGACCTACTAGGAAATCCTTAATCCATTTTAAAAGAGGTCCGGCAATACCAAGGTTTGCCAACTTCAATAGCAGTCTATTAGTTGGCACCTTGTCAAAAGCCTTACTGAAGTCTATGTAGACAACATCCACTGAGTTTCCGTTGTCTAGCGCATTAATCCAGAGCTCCCTAGCTATAAGGAGGTTCGTTGTACAGGATAGACCCTTTCTAAAACCATGTTGTGCCATGTTCAGCAAGTTATTGGTTTCCATAAATGCTGTTATGGTCCGTTTGATTATTCTTTCCAGTATTTTAATTACAACACTGGTGAGGCTTACGGGTCTGTAATTTGATGGAACTTGTCGTGGACCTGTTTTATGTATGGGAGTGACGATTGCGTCCTTCCAGTCCATAGGTAACACACCTTGGTCAAGTGACATTTTGAATATCACAGTCAGTGGGGCTGCGATATATTGGGCAATATGTCTCAAGATTTTAGGGTGTAGTTCATCTGGTCCTGTTGACTTCTCCATGTTTAGGGTGCTAAGAGCCTTAAGCACATCGTTTTGGTCGAAGTCCACGGTGAGCAGCTGGTTTGTTGACTCTGTAATTGGGTCTGGTTCTTTCTCTAGAGGAGGTTCCTGAGTGAAAACTGCCCCAAAGTAGTCAGCCATAACCTCAGCTTTTTCCTGATCTTCCTCTATCATTTCAGATTCACTTCCTACTTTAATTAGGTTGGGAATCCAATGATGAATCCTTGTTCTGTAGTTTATGTACGAGAATATCCTCTTGGGCTGCTTGAGTGCAGATTCTGCCAGCTGCATTTCATATTTTCTTTGCGCTTCCCGAATTTTAGTTATACACTCGTTTCTTATCGATCTGTAGCGTTCCATCGTACCCGCTGTGCCAAGGCGGATGGCAACATCCCAGCATTTCTTCTTTTGTCTTAGTAAGCGTCGAATATCCCGCCCTATCCAGGGATGTCCGTGCTTCTTTTTCTTTGGGACAGTCCAGGGTATGTATGGTTGAGTTACCCGATTGTATAACTGCCTGAATAGAGTCCATGCCTCTTGTACTGATGCCTTTGAGTCAATTTCCCAGTTCTCAGCCGATGCTGCGGAGTTAATTGCCTGCATATCTGCCTTCCATATGTTAGGACGGGCCGGTGCAATTGTTTGACAAGCAATCTCAGCCATGAATTTGAATAAGATGACTGCATGGTCACTTCTCCCAAGTGGTGGGAGAAAAGCCATTTGACCAACGTCATCACCGTGTGTGAAGACTAAATCTAAAAGAGAGAAGAGTTTCTTAAGTCGTATCTTGTGGGATCTCTAATGTGTTGGAATAATGCTAGTCCAATCGAGGTTTCTAACAGTTTGGAGTCGAACGACGATATGGATGACCCTACTTCTAAGTTAACCCAGTTTATATATGGTGCATTAAAGTCGCCTACTACAAGGCTTTTACCGTTGTTACACCAGGACTTAAGTTTACTTAGGAGAAAATCATCTGCTACACATTCTGGACTGCGATAAACTACAACTACTTCAATATCTTGCCTTCGGCATTTCAACTTACATCTCACCAGTTCACATGTCCCTGAAACATGTGCTACTGTCTCAGCTAATCTTATGGTTAGGGTACTTTTCGTGTACAGAATAACCCCGCCTCCCCAACGGTTTAATCTATCAGCCCTACTGGTTATGAAACCAGTCAACTGGATTTCACTATCTAATACTTCTGACGTTAACCAAGTTTCCGAGACAGCAATAACGTCCGGTTTTTCTTTGTCCACCACTGACTTGAGCTCCGCCATTTTATTTAGTAGGCTGCGAGCATTTGTGTAGCATACCTTTAAGTCTGTGGAGAGCTTTCCCTTACCACCCAGAGTGGCTTGGGGATCGTTTTGCTCCGAACTTTAACAACTTGAAAACCCTTAAGAACAAGGTTTCGTTCCCCGTTTTGGCGACGTTCATTTATTTCCACATTTTGTGGTACCACTTTTTACAATCGTCACATTGCATTCCCTCCTCCACGGAGAACAAACAATTTGGTCGAGTTTCCTACTGAAGGACGCCTGGGATGTCACTTGAACTACCTAAGCCGGCAGCAAACTTCAGCATTCGACTACTTCCACGGGGCAGAAGTCGTGCCTACAGTCTGTTCTGCTATGTTGTGTCTCCAGCTTTCGGATCTTACCCTATGGTTTGTGTTGGAACTGAGATTAAGTGGGTATTATAAAAAATGACTGGGAGCTTTTAGGATACAATAAGTCGTCTCAAGGTCACCCCCGAAACTATTACGCTCTAATTGATAAAGGCCTGGAGATTTGAAGCCTTCTATATAAAGCTCAAATTTGAGTTCCCGTGCCGAATTCATGACCCACCTATGAATACGTTCCAATTCATCCTCATACTTTTGGAGTGACGGAAGAAACACTGTGTTTTCACGCTGCCGTCAAACTGGCCAAAAATGCACTTCGATATGACTAGCTCAAGGTTTGCTGGAAAGACATTTTTGTCGTAGTTAGTGTAAGACTTCAGATCATAGGTTACCAACACTCTCAAGTCTTGTTCAACTTGGGATACTTCCAGGGAATAATTACCTGAGTTTTATGCGTAGTCTGCTACATGTCTCAAATGGACTACTTTGTGCTTTGTAGTGATAAGTTTAAGTCCTTTGTTATCCACCTAACTTTGAAGTCGAGTCAGGTCTTCCTTACGTTATTCGTCCTCGTTGCAAACGTCTCTCCAAAGTTTCACATCATCAGCAAGACGTAACAAATAAGATAGTGCTTGCTGAGTAAGGCCGATTATGCAAGTTAAGAAAATAAAAGGTTCATGCTACTCTCATCCCTCTCCAATTGCCCTAAATAGTAGTTTCTTCTTTGAGTAAATCCTGTAAGGCTCGAAAACTGCTGCTGAAAGCAATCCTGAATTGTTTGAGTGTTACAGTATGTCGGAAGAAGACTGTTTCGAACCTTTGTAAAGCTGTTTTCTCAGTTTTCCAGTGCTTCTTTGACTCCAGACTCAGCCCACCAACCACAGGCTAGTGATATGAAGAATGCTGAGATGATATTTTAGTTTTGAAACAAAAGCGTGCTCCTAGAATTTCGAACTTATTCAATATGAAATTCACCACGCACTTCTCAAACACTTTCGAAACACTCCGCTAAATGGACTATACCTTAGTAGTTCGAAACCGATATAAGCGATCACACGAATAAGGTAATAAGTAAAATAATCTGTTATCGATTCGAAGGATTACAGTATGTTTTGGAAGCACACTCTTCATTAAACATTTCGAAAACCATTTCTTTTGACTGATATGGCATAAAATAGTGACGTTAGGCTAGGAGTGGCACCTGTAGTGTGGCGTCGAGTTACGTTTGACTACGATCACCACTACAGGAAGAATACGTGCCAGTTAACCGACAAGATCCCCCGAAGGCCAAATATCAGAAGGCAGTTGGTGGCTGTAGTCGAGATATATTTGTTAGCGATCTCGTGTTATCGAAAGAATGCCAAGATCGTGCCAGGTTACAAGCGTGGTTACTGAGCGTAACCGAATTCGTGCAAGGTCACAATCAACGGAAAAATGCATTTTCTTGGTACAGTTAAACAAACAAGTACAGTAAAACAATCCTTGATACAATTGGTTATAATAATAACTGTTTCCATTACACCAATCGCGTTCTGTTGATAACAGTAGGTCACTACACACCCGTGACACTGAACGACAAACAAGCATAGAAACCCATCTCAAAAACAATCTGATCACTTAAATACCACTATATTCTCCTCAAAAACTTTAAAAAGAAGGCAGGGCAAACCCCAGTCGCTGTCTAGTGACTGTTGTTAAAAATTTAAACTTACGAGCAATAAAAGTGATTACGTTCGAAATTTAGAGGAATATTAAAAAAATGAACGTTTCTAATTACCGTAAATCTTGATATTGGTACATTCAGCAGCATATCAGTTTGGTTTTTACCTCAAGGAACTATACTGTTCGGGGAAGAGCGTGAAAAAATATGTTTAATAAAGAAATCCACTACGGTGCTTTTCACGATACTCCATATCTATCCTCCCACTAAACAATCTTTGACCTATTTTCTAACTGTTCTGGGAACTTTTCAATAAAATAAACTTTGGTACAAGTAATACCAAATCCTATATCATCATAAACGTTCTGCGACTGAGTTCTGAAAAGAGGATCTCCTGACACAACTTAGTTCTTTCGAGATAGCCCATGTGATTTCAGAACACAATAATGTCTTTATTCCTCACTGCTGAGGAATATCGAGGCAGGATGAAAAGGATGTTTTGTACTTTCGTTCTACATCTATCACAATCCGAAATCAACTGCCTGCGAAAAACATCATTATACAAAATGTTGTAAAGTGTGCCTAGTCACTGATATAACCATTAGGATGAAAATTCCCAAAAAGTCAGAAACTTTCAGCACTGTCAGGTTTCTGTCTTGCTACGAACTCCTCGGTTCTCATATGAATTTAAGAGCTAAAATTAGTGATCCGTCAGAGTAGTTTATCCGCGGTCAACTGCAAGATAGCTGAAGACTGCCTGGCTATTTCTGCAATTTCCGAGATAGTGTTTTAATGACTTGACTTCTGCAATATTATTTTCACTGATTATTCCTTTTTCAGCCTCCAATTAATCGAGACAATTGTAGGTTATCACAACACTAGTGACAGTCCTCTCATTCATTATTCGCCTTTCACAACTAACAGTGATAACTTATTCTCAGCGTGTTTCGCATCATCTATATGATTCTTTGCTGACTATATATATATATATATATATATATATATATATATATATATATATATATATATATATATATATATATATATATTTATTTATTTATTTAACTACATAAACATTGGTGCAAGGAGGTATCAAATACATATGCACCACACTTCATTGTTCGACCTGCGTGAGCAGTGGAATACTACCCAGGTGCACAAACCGAAACAAGGTGGACTAAATAAGCAAAAATAGGTGATGAATTCTCACCCCGTAAGTATAAAGTTCACGTTTTGCGCAAATAAAGTGTTTTCGTCAAGATTTATCCCAGAATTTAGGCATTGAAGCCCCATTGTTCAGTGATAAGATGAGGTTCATAACGATAGGAGTGATACTGGGAGAGCCCAAATAGTTAGAGTAAAATAAAACCACTATCCTACGGGTGTTACTGATGAGGGACGGAAAATATAGGAGAATGACAATTGTAAACGAGCTAGTAGCACTAGGATGTCTTCCATATCATTGGGGTTGGTGTTGTATTTTGGAAAAGTAGAAAACTTTTGGCTCTATCAATTCCCGATCGGGTTACGTAAGACAAGGTCAGATAATCATTCCACACATTTGCAACTGTATTGCGCGTAGGACCACTGACCAAGTAACAACAGATCATACCTTAACAACTACTGACCCTCGAGTTCCTTACAACTGTGTCCAATTAGAAGACGGAGTCACTAAGCAGATATCTAACATATTGTGTAACAATCTAGTCCAATGAATCAACTCACATAAAAATATAGAGCAATTTCCCGAATACATGGACATAAATACGGAACTGTTTGCAGAACTATCGCACAAGTTAAAGGTCAATGATTAGTTAGGAATAACTAAAGTAAGATAAAAAATAAAACGACCTATACCCCAACAGTAAGATTACAATCTGGAGAATATAAGAGTATAATAAGTTAAATGTCTAATAATTATACAACGATAACCACTAATTCTCCGTCCGATAGTTACACAAATTACAGCCCTCTCAATACTCCCTTCCACAGCAGCTGGCACTTTTAGCAAAGGATTAAAAGAATAGTTGGACCAAGCGATAGTAGTCCTAAACAATTAGTCCAGTTTTGGTTGTTAATAATCAGGAAATTGTCAACGTAAGTTTCCAGGTAGCTGACGTCTCGAAACTCGTCTTCGGTCACAAGAGGTTCGAGCACATATCACTAAGTCATAGTCAAAACCCTTAATACTGAGCATATAGGGCTACAAATATCTCTTAACAGGAGTGAGGCACCAACAGTGGCCAAGTAGTGATTCAGGTGATGTTTGTCTAGTAACTCCCGTGGCTAATACTGGGTGATGAGAGCTCGAATCATAGAGACACCAGTCCCCTCGAATTGGTACATACTTCTTGTTGGCAAGTACAAACTAGTCTAAACCCTAGATCCATCCCTTTCATTAACCAACCAAAACCATAATATACTAATGCTTCTAATCAATGAGCTACCAATTTGCATAATGAAAAAGCGAGATATCGTCGGGGAGTGGAGCTTACGCATGAGAAATACAGAAACACTGCATTCGTGATTACAAGAAACGCCAATCCCTATTGCATCCGTTTATAATTATTGCTCAGTTAAGAGCTCTACAATTAACAGTAGAAACAAAGATGGAGCCTAAAACTGTAAACAGTAAACTGCTAAATAACGATGAAAGACTCAGTTTACAGAACAGTGAATCAATTCTCATACAATGTGTATTAAAAAAATGAGGCAGGTATCTATAATCATATTTAAATTGTAATTGAATTCATACAATATGATACCACGCTCTACGCATACTAACATTATCCTCTACTTACATTACAAAATACAATTTACTGAACGAACAATGACAATATATTGTAAATCATCAAATGAAAAACAACCTGAATCTAAAAAACACCATCAATACATAAGAATGAAATGCGTGTAAAAAAATGAAATGAGCGCCAAAAATGAAATATAAAATTTTGGGGTTTAATGGTATACATAAATATATATAAAAGCAGTAATTATTGATGAAATAGAGAAATAGGTTCGAAAGCAATGTAAATGAAAAAAATAGCATAACAATAGCTAAATCATGCTAAGATTATCAGATCTGAAAGTTTGATTCATTAGCTATAAGACCTGTATGTTAGGCCGACTTTATTTTCATAAATTATATTTCTTCATAGCCAATTTGACGGCGTCGACTACTGATAATAAAAGCGATTAGAGCAGCCGCTATCATAACCACCAATAAAACGCCGACAACAATAGGAATCACTTTAGTCGGTACATAATCGGCAGCACAAGAGGAAGCTAGAGGTAAAATGTTAAAAATTAATAATTATTGATGCATTTGATGTCAATATCTTACATAAGGGGTTGTTAGTTTGAGTAAACGTTTTACAATAATCATAAAGGCAATTTTCAGTTAGATTTTAATTCCATGAACGAAATAATTCAGGTTAAGACAACGACATTAAGGTCCGGGCACATTCCGCTAAAATAAATGTTGACCGTGAGGGGAATATATACAATTATTAATACATTAGGTTGTAAGAATAAAAACGTTCATCTACGATTGTGGACGTGAAGTAGTAGAGAAAGAATACAAAGAAATGCTAGATGATGCAATGACAGAATCACATCTAGCATAATATTTTGTGCACTAAAACAGAGAAACGTGCTTTGAAACTGTCATACAGTCATCATCATTGCTCAGTGATGCGATTGTCGAAAAAACTATTTATGATCACATAAATGCCCTAAAAAGAAAAGACTTTTAAGTCATATGGATAAAATTCTATATTGAAGTTGCCATAGCCAACCTGTAAATGTTTACTAATACCGTAAAACTAGTATCTATTTTTCTTAAATTTCTTTTGTCAGGTATGATAAACTCTTCTCTTATAACACCAATATTATAATTGGCTATAATTGATGTGAAAAAATAGATCTTCAATATTGTCTATATAATTAAACTTAATGTAACCTTCTTTCCTTATAATACACAAAATAATAAGTTTGTTCTTGTGTTACTTTATGCATACCGAGCATAAATGTTGAAAGGTGGGAGACAAATATATATTATGACAACACCATAGTCACTAAATGAATAAAGACTAGATTAGTAACGTTTTAGAGAAATAGGGTGAACTAGTCGATGAGGTTGTAAAGTCGCACTACAAGATACAATGTCATATACCGCGACATGTTATATGAACTGAAGTAGAGAATTAGGTTGGAGAAAAAAACAGCTAAGAATGAATAAAAAAAGATCAGTCACGAGACCGTTAAATGACTGCCGTGTGGTTGTGGTTGTATTTAGATACATCTATGAGTGTCCCAGTAAGCGATAGTTGACGACTTCTTGTGTGATCAATAAGGTTTACAATCGATCACGCGCCATTGCTTATTTCTTACAACAATGCGGCATCAAAATATAAGCGATCTAATAAGCAATTTCTTGATATAAAAAGTACATATTTACAACTGATTAATCATTGACCACTTTCATGTATACCAGGTCCTTCTCCAATGCTAATCCAATTCTAGTGAACGAGTTGCAATCCGTCCACTTGTCTACGTGACTTGACATCGAATGCACTATGCTATGATGTAAAGTGGTGGTTGAAGGAAGTAAACAGGACCGTGAAAGTGTGCGATACGAGATCGAATAAGTCAAGGAGTACCACTTCTTTTACAATTACAGGTACACCTTGCTGACAAGTGCAGAACAGCAAGACACCTATATTTATGATTTTCTGTAAATTGCCTTCAACCACCTTATAAAGTAAATATAAAATTGATATTGGTGTTCCATGAGGATATAATGAAGTTATATGTCTACTTAAAACAGTTTAACTGACGGCTAATTGGATCAATCTGTGAACATATAACCGAGACCGTACTTTTAGGGATCGGAACCTATGACTAACTAGATTTGAATACAGTGTAGCGACAAGTTAGATTGATATTTGAATTTTAACACCAATTAGGAGGTGAGTTCATCAAACAGAGATCATGCAGAACACTGAGATTAATTTCAGTGAGTCAGTCAAATACGACGTAGAACCTGGAACATGTATACATCAGTCCAGTTGCCACATCCCAAGATGAAATTGTCAGGGCGAATCCCAGAGTAATACAGATAATAACACTATTGGTGATAATAAAAAAAGATTATGCATCGAAGATAGGATTCGAGAAAAAATATGTAAATCAGCGAAATGACAGAAACAATTCGACGAATTCGGAAACTTAGAATGTGAAGGAAAGTAAGGAGCCGATGCATCCACGTCACTGCGAACGATTTTAAGCCATACCACTCAACGCCACTAATCATTGGTTATGCTAACCACGTGAACCCCAACCGAGTAGCCTATCCCTACCTACAACGGCTCAGTTCAACAATAAGCTTATTCATGGACTGATAAAATGTCTTAGTTTGTCCACTTGTAGCCTTCCCATTATTACACACTGACAATAAACAAGGGATTTAAGACGAAAAAGGTGAATCAGGATTGAGATTACAAACCCGAGTGAGTCGATCGAGATGTCTTGAACATTACCGTGCACTAGTAACAATATTTACCGTGATATGTATAACAATGACAGGTAAGTAATCAGTCAGTCATAAATAACATAGAACCTGATATATATATATATATATATATATATATATATATATTACGTGCATCGGGCCAAGTAGTTTCATTATTAGTGATAATAAAAAGAGATCAGGTATAGAGGATAATAATTCGAAAAGCCACACTAAAAAGACCCATTAGAAATAAATTGAGTAGTGAGAAAAACAAAAGTAGGTTCCAGGAACAATTGAGGTAACACTTAGGTAGTTTTGAAGACGAGGCTGACCCAGATGTTTCTTGGAAAAATATACAAACAGCTGTGGAAACAGCAGTGACATCTATTAGCGACTTAAACCACAGAGTTACAAAGAACCAGTGGATTTCTTCAAAGTCTATCACACTGATGGATTCTCGCAAACTCGTCCCATCACGTTCCGAACATGATGAAGAGCGACAACAAATCAGATCTAGGTTAAGAAAAAGTCTAAGGAATGACCGTAAGCAGTGGTGGGCAACGTAAGCAAAAGAGATGGAAAAGGCGGCGGCTATAGGGAACACAAGACAGCTCTACAGATTAACAGAAGAAACTGGAATTAATACGTCAAGTGTAAGTCAGACTATCTCAGAAAAAGACGACACCCTCATCTGCTCCCAGTCAAGACGTTTAGAACGATGGGCGGAACATTTCAGAGAACAGTTCAACTGGCCTTCAGATACTCTACAACTACCCTCCATTCCCAGACAGTGTGGATGGAACATAGAAGTAGGTCGCCCAACTCTCGCTGAAGTTCAAAAGGCTATAGTTAATCTGAAACGAGGAAGGACAGCTGGTCCAGATGGATTGGCTCCAAAAGTCTTTAAGGATGGTGGTCCAATTTTAGTGATTAGGTTGACTAATATTTCAGCTAAGATCTGGGAGTTAGACGATATCCTATCTGACTGGTCACAATCAATTATCGTCCCAATATATAATAGAGGGTTAAAATCATCCTGTAACAACCATAGACGGATTACTTTAGCTAATATAGCTTCTAATATACTAGCCTCGATAATTATCGGACGCCTAACAAGGACTCGTGAACGGCAAACACGAGAGAATCGGACTGGCCTCAGACTTGGTCATGGCTGCATCGACCACATATTCACCATTCTTCAGGGTCTAGAACACAGGCATACTTGTCGACGTCCGACAATGGTGGTCTTTCTTGACTTAAAAGCAGCATTTGACTCGGTAGACCGCGAGATTCTGTCGCAGTGTCTGTCATTGGAAGGCGTACCTCAGAAGTACGTAGACATTGTGAAGGCTCTTTACTCGAACACTACCAATCGAGTCAGAGCTTATGGCGAACTGTCATCTGATTTTGCAACGTCAAGTGGTGTGCGGTAAGGCTGTCCATTGGACTTGGACCGATGTATATATGTGCCAGGTCCTACGTTGTAGCTGACTGACTGACTAAATTCGAAAAGAAAGAGTGAACTCGTGGAATAACAGGTACAGTATAATCTAAAACTCTTGACCTCAGGGGAAACAAAGAGTGAATGTATCTGTATTATTGTGAACTATCTTGAACCATATCATCCAACGTCTTCAGTTACTGGTCATGGTAATTACGTAGAAAATGACAATTTGTATAGTAAAACCAAATTACATTGACTAAAGTTTTTAAACTAGAAGAAATAAATGGCTTGTGTAACCAATGTATTATGAGATTTATGAAATTTTTGCAATATAAAATGTGTATCTCAATTTTCTTGATATATCTTACCACTTGATTTTAAATTCATCATGGACAAGCTACCATTTCGAACGAAGCATAGTTTTTTTATTTGTTCACATGTTATTGATGAATAAATTATATATATCAACATTGAGTTCATATCCATTGCCCTGTGATATTTAACAGTACGCACGTAAAAAGTAAATCAAAGCCAGAATCTTCAATACAAACGTCAAGACAGTTCTACCATATGGAGCTGAAACTTGGAGAAATACTACAACTATCATCGAAAAAGTGCAAGTATTTATAAACAATTATCTACACAAGATACCATCAGCAACAACCTACTGTAGGACAGAACGAACCAGCTTCCAACTGACGACGAAACTAGGAAAAGACGCTTGAAGTGGACAGGACATACATTGAGGAAATCATTAAACAGCATCACGAGGCAAGAGCTAACTTGGAATCCTGAAGGGAAGTTGAAAAGTGGGAGGCCGAAGAACACACTGTGTCGTGAATTGCAAACAGACATCAAAAGGATGAATAGCAACTGTAACGAACTAGGAAGGATGGTTCAGGATAGAGTTGGATGGAGAATGCTGGTGGTCGACCTATGCTTCTCCACGAGGTGTAATAGGCATAATTAAGTACACAAAAGTAGTAATTATATATATAATTAAAGCAACAAATAAAGAAAATAAATGAAATTTTAAAAAATTTCCTCTAAATAATTTAATTAACTTACTTGGTCCAGTAAATGTATTATTAGAAATATCATTATTTCTGAATGCTTCAACTTGAAACTCACTAAATGTAAGTCGTACATTTGTTGAATTTGATGATTTATCTTTTAATTCATAGGTTTGTTCACTTAGACAAATAAACGATGTACCAATAGCACAAGAAAAAAGTGATTTATTCGTGGAAGCATTATGTGGACCTATCACCACCACCAACCCCCGAAAACAAAAACAAAAAAAGAAATATAATTTATAAGCAATCACTTCTTATAAATGTAAAGTGATTAACCAAATATTATAAATACAATATATATAATTAAAACAAAGATTTTATGTATATTAGTTACCATATTGATTGGTAATATGAATAATAATATTCAAGTAATTACTTGATATTAACACATAACAAATAATTAGACATACTATTGGAATATCAATAGTATCATACTAAACATGTAAATGTTTTCTAATATTATTAGTGAAATTCTTTTTTTCTTCTTAATATACACGTATGTATTAATATCATTAGTAATATAATTTTGTTTGAATTATATATATTCCTAGTAAGCTAATGTAGCACCATATGAGTTAAAGTAATAAAATATGCATTTAATAAAAAAAAATATACAATGAGTTACATTAATTGTACAAACAAATACATATAAAAACTGTATAAAATTTGGAATTTTAAAATTTGTTAATATTAGTACTGTATTATCTTAATTTAATATATTTGAAATTTCACTTAATTTAATTAAAGTTGACAGAGTGATTAGCAGTGAAATTTAGAACTTGCATTTTCTTCTAATCAAGATTCATTCATCCATTCCAATTTTGATACTCAACTTATACTCGAATTCGGTACCTTTTGATTATTTTATTAATACGTAATAATAAGATATAAACATTATACCCATTGAACAACTTAATGACTATCTGGTGGGCTCTTGCTTCTTATGAACTATATTTCCAATAAGTTGACTCTTTCCTTTCCACAAAATCCAATGTTTCTACTCATTTGTTGTTCTGATTATAAAGTGTAGAACGATTTCAACCAATACATACTTTTATCAGACCTGCTACATTGTTTATAAATGGCTGACAGGTAATATTCATTATATATATACGTGATAAATTATTCACCGCTAGAAAATAATCAATTAAACTATTGTATAAATTAGAGTTTAGCACATACTAACTAAAACTGATGTCGAATTATGGTAACATGCATATTTATATATGTACTGTCGGACATAAAGAGATTGTTGTGCTATATATATATATATATATATATATATATATATATATATATATATATATATATATATATATATATATATATAAATTCACAAATCCAAATCAAAACATATGTTTATACCAATACTGTTCTAATGATGTAAATTCATTTGGACTTCGGTAAAACAACATCGACCAGTTTTTGTTAAGTAGTCAATTTTCAACAATTAATTTAATGCATACAACCATACAATAACGAGAGATGTGAAACACAGTGATTATTTGTTTATAGACACAGTGTCACAGTATTGTTATAAATGTTACCCAAACGTGTATAGAACTTATCCAATGTAATAAACAATGAAAATCGTTTATGTAATTTATGCACTAATTATCATTATTTTCATATTCAGTCAACTAAGAAAACAGTTTAACTATATACATGATAATGAGAATAATCCTCAGTAGTTCGTTGAAATAAAATTCGTTTGTTTTATTGGGGGTATTGAGATTAGAAATTACTAGTTAGTATAAATGGGACCAATCCCAATCAGAATTCCTCTGATAAATGTAGACTATCAAAAGTGACGAAAATTCCCTTCATAACAACTGTGAAACGACGAATTTGATCAAAATAATCTTTAACATAAAATTTCATGATTAAATAACATCCTACTAAACTTGGGTAAGGTTTTAGGGATAATCTGTTTATACTTAAACAGATGACAGTCTAATTCCACCGGAGGTTAATTTGATAGAAGTATTCAGTGTTACTTTAAAAGTATGATGAGGTTATGTGTCACAATCAGAATACGTCAAAAGTTTCTGTAAATTGAAGGCTGATATTAAATACTATATATTTTACTTAGGAAGTGCAAGAAAATTATCTATAGGGTCATGAAATTATACTGAATCACAAAATTAGACAGAATCAAAATAGAGGTTCATAAACTAGCGTTCATAGGAAGCCATCAGCCTTTATTTTAAGCTAGATCACCGCATATCGAATAAAAAGGCTTGATGAAATGTTGAAAAGTTCCATCTTACGTTTAAGAACAACGTAACGGAAGTTTTATTCAGAACTATGTTTGATAACATTTTAAAACACCCAGTTGGGTGGTCATTAACCTCCCATACAAGGAGCACCAAAATTCCTTAGCATAGTTATACGTTTATAAAATTTGTCATGGAAGTTCTACTCATTGTTTTCAAGTGTTCGGAGTGCTTTTACAAAAGTAAAGGCTAAAGTGGACATACGGTGCTTAAGACGAACTGGTGGACGTAGAGTGCACCTAAGTGAGTTGAAAAATCTGATTACAAACCAGTGATGAAAATGAATTCTAAAATTCCGAGAATGGATAGGTCACAAACACACTTTGGTCCCCAGTTGGAGTCATCCCAATGTCTAGAAGTTTAGGGCCTCATGCTAAAAGCCTAGTGATAAACTCCTAGATTTAGAATCCAAAGTAATAAGGACAGTTTTCACAATTAAGAGGGGACCAATCTTTAACGAGAGCGAGCTTAAGAATGAAGCTTTCTTTAGATACGATCACAGTAATTAATGCTATTAGAAATTTATCAGAACTACGTGATCAGCCAATACAACACTTGGTTTTGATAAACGTCATCTCCTAATTGCATCGGCTACATTTATCAAAAGGACTAACTATTTTGAGATTAAGAGGCTAAATCTATAATGGAACGAGGGAAATTATGACAGCTGATCGATATATTGATTCTTACTATCAGATGGGAGCATTTATCGAGAAACAGATGATCTCTTATCACAGCAGTTGAGAACTGAAGCTATGAAAATTACTGATAATCAAAATTTAGATATATGGAGAGCTTTCTAAAAGTAATGGCTTTTGTAAGAGAAAAATAAATACTGTTTTCAGGAATTGGAGAGTGGAACTTTACGGTGAATTCAACAATAAAATGAAAGATTATTTCCAAAACTTTGTCCTGATCACACAAAAAAATAAATATACTTAGTATTTGATTAGCTTCTGTGATTTACTATGAATACCATACAAATTAATATCAGGTTATAAGATTACAATTAGTAGAGCTTTAACAAACTATATAATGAAGTAGACAACAAATTACACGAATTTTAAGGCAATACATAAAAACAAATTAAACAAGAGTAAAAATATGACAAATTTATGAGAAATAAAATGATGAAAATAATCCTCTGAAATAAGTATTCTGGTGTTATCCCGACCGTTGTTGCTACCTTGACGTGGTGGTCGGGCTTGCCTATCGTGATGAAGCAACCGAGCTATACTGGCTGGAACAACCGTTCCTCAAGGTCCTACCATGTCAGACAGGTCGGTTGAAGAGCGGTAAGACTAAAAGCAACAAACCCAAGGTCCGAAGGCGAAGTCGTACTGCTGACTGTACAGAGGTGTGACAGCAGTAAGGTGTTTCCTTCAGACAACCAGCATGACAGCGATGCTGCCTTCCCACAAGGAGGGGTGGGGTTAGAAAAGGTCGACCCTAAAAATGCACACCTCGCCTTATCCCACGGATATCCGTCTCCGGCGGTAAGGTCTCAATAAGTACGGAGCTAACACAAAAATTACCCATAACAAGGTCGTGTGTGACCGACCTCAAGCAGTTGTCCCTTGGGCACTGCGGTCACGCTCTCAGGTCACTGAGACCACCTCTAATCCAATTTCCTTTTCAGGTACCTCCAGAAGAACCCTTCCACGGTGTGGGCAACCGGGAAGTGATAACCGCCCTCATACCTCTAACAGCACTCAAGACCACTGTATTCATAATCAACCTCCTCTTCAATTCCTATTATTCCTCCTACATCGACTTTCAACTCTAAACTTCCTTTTCGGCTTCCTCCTCAAGTGTCACCATAGCCAACGATTCTAGTGCTCAAAACACTGTCCCAGGTCTACTGAAACCTCGCTCCAAACTACACATTGGAGCCTTCAACGTACGCACCCTATGTCAAATCGGTCAGCAGGCTTCCTTGGCTAAAACCCTAGAGTCTCTTTCCATTGATGTATGCTGTGTCTCCGAAACACGCATACAGGATTCCAGTGTGGTCATTCACTTGACCTCACCTCGGCAAGACGGAGAGCCAACGAGATACACCCTTCGTGTGTCTGGTGACCCGATGGCCAGTTCTCGTGGACTGGCAGGTGTAGGCATAGCACTAAGCATGAGGGCCGAACAAGCACTGCTAGAGTGGATCCCCGTCAACAGTCGTCTATGTGCTGTTCGGCTAAACGGCTCCGTAAGAACTCGGAAGGATAGGGACACACGTCGTTGCCTTTTTGTCGTTTCTGCCTACGCTCCCACTGACTGCAGCTCAGATGAAGTGAAAGATGAATTTTACAGAAAGCTGTCCGAACTTCTTCAGAAAGCTAAACGCTCAGACATAGTACTCGTAGGGTGACTTTAATGCTCAGATAGGTAGTTTAAACCAAACAGAAAGGCATTTAGGTGGATATTTTAGTATTCCGGCACAGCGAACAGATAATGGTGATCGTCTGCTGCAACTGTGCTCAGACAATCGTTTATTTTTAGCAAACACAAATTTTAAGCATAAGGAGAGACATCGTCTAACATGGCGACCCCCTACACCAAACCAACGATGGACTCAAATAGACCATATTGCCATCAGTCATCGTTGGAGAGGGTCGGTAGAAGATTGTCGCTCATTCTGGAGTACCTGCTTGGACTCCGACCATGCCCTAATACGGGCACGCATCTGCTTGCGCCTCACTGGACGCAAAAAAGCCACATTAAAAAGACCCATTAGAACTGAGTTGAGTAACGAGAAAACCAAAAGTAGGTTCCAGGAACAACTGAGGTCACACTTAGGTAGTTCTGAAGACGAGGCTGACCCAGATGTTGCTTGGAAAGACATACAAGCAGCTGTGGAAACAGCAGTGACATCTATTAGTGACTTAAACCACAGAGTTACAAAGAACCAGTGGAT